ATTTAGATTGGGGGAGGCATGCCAATGTAGGCCAGACCTGCCAATGGCTGCAGAGTTGATTTTCCTATGTCTTGCCAACATTTGGGGAAAAGAATCTAGCTGCTCTTTTAAACAGAAATAAACAATGGAACCTGACAAAAATCTTAAGAAAGGCAAAACCTGTGTGTATCATGGGGTGCATTGGACTGTAATGCTCCATTCTAGAACAGGCAGCTAAACCTTTCAGATTCTTTTAGAACTTAAAGCTCTCTTAATACATTGTTTGGAAAACATTTCTCAAGAAAGTGCATATGTTAGCTATTTCCTTAGTTATTTTATAGTCATTTGAGAATTTTGGATGATATTAAGCATTTTATTTAACTTTCTAACTTCTTTAGCAGTCTAAGGTGATAATGAATGAGATTGTTCTGGAAATCTATTTTCCCATTCCCACTCTAAAGATATAGGCTTGCATCTGCACGAAAGACAGGCATAAACTGTAAAAGCATCCAGTCAAACGAAAGGAAGAGTTAGATGAGAGGAAGATGACAGTTAAATAGACAGATCTGTCCTACACCTCGTCCCAGGGCCAGCTGGAAAGAAAACTAAATTGGAGAACATTCACCTGGAATTTCCAACTATGGTCCGGCTGAGGAGGTGACTTATAACTATAATAGGAAGAACAGAGGGCACCTGGAGACGGGTGGGAAGGGTGAGCTCACAAAAGGGGGCGTTTCCTGGAGAGGAGGGAGCTAAGCTATGGGGAACACTGTTCTGGGAGCACAGGCAGGGCTCCACACACCCGCCGGTGGTGGTGGTGACCCAAAGGATGGCGGAGCTTCCCCACTTGTTTACTTGTGGTGGCACAACGCACAGCCTGTGGTTGTGCCCTTATCATCCGAGCAGCTGCGAATGGTAGCAGGACTCCTGGCAGCAGTGGAATCTAGACCCAGCAGACCAGATTTAACAGGAGAGAGAGAGCCATGGTTTAGATCTCTTTTTTCATTTTCTTAAAATAAATAAATAAATAAATCTCTAAATCCAGAGCACAGGCATTTTCATTTGCAACTCCACACCCAAGGTTTTGGCACAGGAGGGAGGTGTGGACTTGGGAGACTTGGAAAAGCAGTGGCCAGGAGTCCTGCACTGAGTCATTCATATGCTTCCATTTTCCCCAGAGGAGCTATCTGCTGCCAACACCCAAAGGCAGGTAAAGGGGAAAAGAACCCACCCAAAGTGATACAGCCTGACTGACCCTGCATTTTGAGTTTTACTGAGGAAACAAAGGTAGAGGCCAAACTTACAGGTCTGAACAGTCTCAAGGAACCCTCACTACCGGATTGGAAGAGGGGTCATCTGCCCCAATATTCTAGGAACCAGACTGATAAAAATTCCATGGTCCCGCACTAACTGGTTTGGCTCAATGAATAGAAGAGAGTGTCGGCCTATGGACTGAAGGGTCCTGGGTTCGATTCCAGTTGGGGACACATCCCCAGTATGTGCAGGAGGCAGCTGATTGATGTTTCTAACTCTGTATCCCTCTCCCTTCCTCTCTGTAAAAAAATCAATGAAATATATTTTTTAAAAAATACCATGGTCCCAGCCGACCTCATTGGTCTCCATTACAAGGATCTCTGTCCAGCGAAGGGCAGAGCAATATTTGGGCCACTCACAGAGGAGCAGCTCTGAGACAAGAAAAAATACCCGTCATATTCCCTGAAAGTGAAACAGCACCAACTCCACCTAAAGCCCTGCCAGAAAAGACTCTTGAGTGATTAAGATTGACACCTGGTGGGCAGGCAACGAGGGTAAATTGGCCCCTCCTGCATAGAGCCAAGGCCTGTGGAGACAGACACAAGCAGTGGACCAGTGGATGGCTTGGAGCTTCAAGCAGGGTGCTAAAAGCCATAAGAAAGTGCATAACAGTGGTCAGCACCTAAGTACCTAACAAGAAGCCCAGAATTGGTAGACACACAGAAGAGTGGGGTCCTAAGTCAGCTTGCAGGGGCCATTAAAACTCCGCTGAAGAGAATGACACTTCACTTTTTAATTTTTAATTAATCAATTTTTTCCCCCCAGAGAACTTGCTCTTGGTTTCATTGGTCTTTTGTATTATATTTTTAGACTTAATTTCATTTATTTCTCTCTGATCTTTGTTATTTACTTCCTTCTTACTACTCATTTTTTGTTTTATTTTTCTAATTTTTTTGGTGTAAGTTAGATTGTTTATTTGTGTTTTTTCTTGTTTGGGGTAGGCCTGTACTACAATGAATTTCACTCTTAGAATTGCTTTTTTGCTATGTTCCATTGTGTTTTCATTTTTATTTGTCTCAAATTATTTTTTGATTTCTTCCTTTATTAATTCATTCATTATTTAGAAGCATGTTTTATAGTCTTGTATAGCCTTTATTTTAATGTCTATTTTGCCTAATATAAATATTGCTACCCCATCTTTTGTTTTATTTTCATTTGCATAAAATATCTTTTCCTATTCTTACTTTCAGTTCATGTGCCTTTCTATTTGAAGTGTGTCTCCTATAAACAGCATATGTATGGGTCTTGTTTTCTTATCCAATCAGCTAAACAGAAACAGATTTATAGATACAGAGAAGAAACTGAGGGTTGCCAGATGGGAGAGGGGTATGGGGATAAGTGAAAAAGGTAAAGCGTATTAGAAATACAATTGGTAGTTAAAAAATACTCATGAGGATATAAAGCACAGTATAGGGAAAGCAATCAATAACATAGTACTATTGTGGTGCTAAATGGATAGTATACTTATCTCAGGGATCACTTCATAAATTACATAAATGTCTAACCACTATGCTGTATATCTAAAAGGTATATATATATATGGCTAAACAACCGTCCAACCATCTAACTGGCTGGTAGGTATGACGCACACTGACCGCCAGGAGGCAGAAGCTCAGTGCAGGAGTGGCCAAGCTTTGGTGACTTGGCAGTGGCAGTTCTTGGGTAACACACCCTGGAACCAGAGAGGACAGAGCCTGATTCCTCGTGGGGCCATGCCATTTCACCTTTGGCCGTGGGTTATGTTATTGCTGGGCCATGCAACACCCAGCAACAGCATAACACCCTGTATGACAGCAACTTCGCAGAGTGCCCTCTTGCACTCTGGGACCCTTTGGGGGATGTTGGAGATCTCTGCAGACCAGGTTGAGGGCCCCCACCTGCCAGAGGGACCCCACTCACTCCGTAGATGCCCTTCGAGCCCTGGCACTGCCCCAAATGTGGCTGGCTAGGTAGGGACTGCCAGAGGTTGGCTCCAGGGCATGTCTGGTGTGTCTTATCCAGTCCTGCCCTGCCAGCCACCTTCTAATTAATTTCCTTTCAGTGTGCACAAACCCACGCACCAGGTCACTAATATAGACTAATATTGAATGTTAACTGTAATTGAAAAGTAAAAATTAAAAATAATATTTATCATTATCTATATATATAAAAGGCTAATATGCTAAGTGTCCCTCTGACCATCAGACCAGTTGTTATGATGTGCACTGACCACCAGGGGGAAGACACTCAATGCAGGAGCTGCCATGATGTGCACTGGCCATTTACAAAGAAGCAACACCACAGACCTGGTGCCTACAAAGCAACAGTCGGCTTCCCCCAAGTGGGACACAGGCCCCACCCCCACCTTGGAGCAACACCCCACCAAATCACAGTCAATGCTGCCAACACCCCATGGCACAAAATGTGACTCACAGCCCAGCCCAGCCCAGCCCAGAAATGGTTGCTTAGGGCACAGGGTAATGATGCCATATAGCAATATCCAGCTTCCTCTCCCTAGCAACTAGCTTCCTTGGAGTTTCTTCAGCCCAGGAACATGACTTGCTTTATAACCAGGTGCAAGCATTTTACACTTTAACCAAATGTCTGTGAAGTGTTTTCCTGTGCCTGATCTCATTTGATCCTCACAGAAGTCATGGAATAGGTAGATAGGGGACCTGGTAATCCTATTTTCTTTTCATTAGCTGGAAAACCGAGACTTAGAAACTTGACCCAACTGAAAAAAGTAAGAAATGGTGGACTTTGAAAATGATTTCAGGTTTTCTCACTGCTTAAAATATAGTCAAATACTGCTACAGTTAAGTATTTTACCCTTTGTTCTCCCTGAGTGATCTACAATAATAATCTGCTTCATGTCAATATTTATTGCTATGTTATTGACAATTACCTGAAAGAAAAGTTGGAGTGCTTCACTGGGCTGGAAAAAGTTTAGCTAAATCAAAAAGCAGGTCTAATTAAGCAAGTTTATTTATATATATATATATATATATATATATATATATATATATATATATGGCTAAGTTGACTTGTACATGCAAGATACATATAAAGCTCTTGCTGGTGCCAATCACACACATTTGTTTTGATCTGTCATTGTTGATTGTGAATTTGGTTGACACTTCTATTTTAGTGAAAGGGCGAATAGCAATATTAAATATTTCTTCTAATTAATTTCTTTTTAATGTGTGTGAATCTGTGCACTGGGCCACTCGTAGATTAAGAAATTAGCATTCTGCTTTTACTATATCATGAATAATTATGCATACCTAAAAAAACTTGAGCCTGTTGTACTCTGGGAATGGAAAAGTGAGTTTCTGGATTTATAGAACTGAGGGACAAACATAAAGCATATTTAATACTCCAGGTAATTCAACGCACTTTTCTTTTCTAGAACCCTCTTCATTCTCATGGACTGTCTTTTAAACTTCAACACCTTTTGGTGTCAAATTTTCTCATTTTGCTATCACTGCTTTTCTAGAAAAGTGATGGGTACACAATTTGAAACCAGAAAAACATAGTACTTCATTTTCTATGGAAAGTTGTAACAAGAGTAATTGTAGTTTTTGCTTTTAGAGCCCTGTGATAAAGAGCCTAGTGATAGATAAAACTGTGACACATATAATTCAATGGCTCCTTTTAGCCATCTGATTTCTTGCCTAGCTCCATGGAGGCTTCTGTTTCTCGGTCACACCTGAGTTGTGGAATAAGTCCTAAATAAACAATGAGGCTGTACTTTGATGTTGAATTTGTCTTTCATTCATCTTCCAACATTTCTCCACCTTGTCTACAGATATGTGAAGCAAACTGCAGGAGGAAGTTGTGTTTGTGAGGCATTCAGTTCCTGGTTTAGGCATTGTCTCAAGAATAGATAATAAATGTGTCATTTTATGTTCTTGTAATTCTTGGAATAAATATGATTTATGTCTTTCTAGTTTGTATTCTCTGAGGAGAAATGGTGATTTGTTTTCCCCCAAAATAGAACATGAATGGCTGTACACTTTAATAGGTTTGTAAACAGGGCCTTCCATTTGGTATTTGATGCTTAGAGTGACTTTTCATTGCACCTTATGCCTGTTTAAGTTCCATGAGGAAAGGAAGGAGCAAGGTGGGTAGGGAATGAACAATTTATCAAATATTAAAAAGTTGAAGTCAGAGCATTACAGTTTATTATTATGTTTCAAAGAATATATGAGCCATTAAAATTCCAATACTGAACCATATTATTGTGATAACTGTAATTGGAATAAGGAATAATACCACATGAATCTGTCCTAATAGTGCCAGTGATAACATGAGCAAGAAAAGGCACAAACAAAGCCCATTCTTATTATAACATTAAGATGAGAATCTGATGCTACTGCTCTGAAACCAAAGACTCTAGACATAAAGCAAAGTAAGCAAAAATAACATCAGGATAATTAATAATGCCATATTTTAGTGGACAACTGTGGGTGTGAGTAATCACTCTCAACTCTACAATGTAATAACCATCCCTAACCTGCTTTTGCTGTTTTAAATGTGTCCCTTCCATTGCTTTTTTTTTTTTTTTTCTCCAGGATGTAACAGTAGTAGGAATTTATGCTGTATGTACTATTGCTATTACTAGTTCATCAGACATCGGTGTCAGAGTTCAGTCCTGCATTCATTAGTGGTATAATCCTTGTATTACTTACCTTTCCTGCATCTCAGATTCCTCATCTGTAAAATGAGAGAAATGTGTAATCTGTATCAGAGTTGCTGTGAGATGAAATAGAGAGCATAGCATTAAATATATCAGTATTTACTGTTGGTATTAGCAATCATAGTGTAATGGGGGGATGTTTTTACCACTGCCCAGCCCAGAAGAAAATTTCTATTCAGGTTTACTACTATATTGTTACACCTCACCCAAAGGCAAGGTTTATCCTTTGCACCAACACAGTCAGATAAGGGGTCCTGATCTCCCACCCTGTGACAGAAGGCAGAGTTTATAAGTGTCCTGCTATATCTGATAGGAATTGTCCACATGGGGTGGCTCAGATGGGATGCTTGGGCAATTTTTCAGAGCTCAGTTGAGAACAATTCCACAGGAAGCAGTAGATGGGAAACGTGCTATCTCCTAAAGCTTGTAGTCTTAAGTGGGCAACAAGACCTCTATACTGCTCCAGATTGTAACTGTTCCAAAATGCTGCTCTAGTCCCAGCCAGTATCTGGTCCTTTCACTTGCTCCTCTATTATCCAAGCCACTGTTTTAAAAAAATATTTTATTTATTTTTAGAGAGATGGATGGAGAGGGATGTAGAGAAACATCTATACAAGAGTGAAATATTGATCAGCTGTCCCCTGCCTACCCCCCAGTGGGGATCAAGCCAGACACCAACGCATGTGCCCTGACTGGGATTTGACCGGGGCAACCTCTTGGTGCACATGAAAATACCCAATCAACTAGCCACAAACAACCAGGGCCATTTAGCTTTTTGATATGGAAAAGCATCACTCTTCAGGTATACAACTACATATTTATTTCCTCTAGGGCAGAAAGTTGTTTGTTGGTTTGGCTTGTTTTAACATTTTTTCTTTCCATTTGTTCCTCTCTGGATGACTTGACCTGAGTAGGAGAAATAAGATTTTTTTTTTCTTTAGTTAATTCACAGATGTGGAAAAAAATATCCATATTCTCTAAATATGATCCCACCATAGTAGAAAATAAAGATTTATACCTTCTTTACAAATTGAAAAGCAAATAGCAATATCCTTTTTAACAGATTTATGGTTTTTCAAAATATTGACAACTCCTTGTAACAGGATTTTAAAAGAACTTTCCCCCAAATTAAGAGTAATACATGTTCATTGTTTTCTCTATTTGAATTCCCCCAAAGCTGACCCTGATGCAAGGATTGGGATGTATGTTGTTAATTTGGGAAGTGAATCAAGGAAGTAAGAGTTATCCTGTGGGGATAAAGAAAGTAAACCAGGAAGGGGAGGGAAAAAATAAAATAAAAAAAAGAAGTGCATGAATCCAGCTGAAGATTCTCTATTTTACACAGAAAGGGATGTAAACCTGGAAAATATATGCTTACAAAATTATTGGAAGCATGCAAAGAGAAGGTTCTAGGCTAGGATTAGCTACCACATGTCTTTGTACATTTAATACAAAAATGTTTTGTGATCTCAGAGGACCTTTGCTTGCCATCTGGGTTAGTCACCATATTCACCTTTGCTTCCTTCACAAAATGGTTAATTCAGTTCCAGAACTAGCCATCTTTAGTAGTGCACAGTCACTCACCAACACAAGTATGCACCTTAAGGCCATTTGCAAATTCAGAGAACTAATTGTTGTTGTGTTTTTTTTGTTTGTTTGTTTTTTAAGTCACTAAGGAGATAAGTGATTAAATGCAGGGCAAACCTTTCACTGCTACAGGAAAACTAGTTCAAATGGACTAGTATTAGCAGATAAAGAGCACCATAATCATACTGCAATTACATCTAGGAATACATCACCTCTCTTGAGGCTTGCCTCCTTTTGTTACTAGCCTAGTCTTATGGTCATTTAGTTTCGGGGTTGGCAAACTTTTCTGTACATAGTCAACTAGTAAATATTTTAGACTTGGCTACCCAAAAGCAACATCAAAGAAATTATGAAGGTGGGAAATACCACAATCATGAACCATTTTAAAGAAAGCCATTTAAAAATGTAAAGCCATTCTTAGATCCTGAACCATTAAAAAAAAAACCAAACAAAAAAACCCAAAACATACACACACACACACACACACACACACACACACACACACACACAAACACAAGAATAGCCAGCAGGCAATAATTGGCCTATCCCTAATTTCATTGCATGTGATTTAGCTTCAGTAATTTAACACTTGGGTTTAATTCTAAAGAGTTCTTTTCCTAACTTAATTAAAACATGATGACCCTTTTTATATCTTAGTGACCTATTTTAGAACATAAGTGGGTTAAAATAAATCTCATACATGTCTTACGAAACTTATCCCAGTGGAATTCCTGAGAACTTGAACTCCCTCCACTGTTTCTGTTTCAAATATTTACACTTGAATATTTTTGGGTTTCTTCCAGAGCACATTTAACAGAAAATATGTTTTCATTGGTGCCTTTAGTCTTCTCCTTACTGGCACACTTTGGATCTTAAAAAGAACCTCTGGCCTAATTACTTTGCAAACAATCAGAAATCAGGTTTTTTTTTTTTTTTTTTTTTGTCTTTACTGTTAGTTGGTGTTGGCCTAAATTGGCAGATGTCTTTTAACATATTAATATATTTCTTAGATGGAGAAATGTCTTTTTGGACACTAAACTTTTCTTGGGAAATAAACTTTCATAGAGCATATGTTTTCCATACTTAAATATTTAAAGTGAGATTCCACTTGAGATAATTTTGTGTCCACTCTTTCCCACATTTGGATCTCAGCTCCAATAGTGATGTCAATATCATCCAGAAGCTTCAATCTGCCTAGAATTTTCCCCAACAAATATGCTACATTTTTTCTATCCTTTTCTCAGTCTATAGCAACACTTTTACATTCCTCATTCTCAATAGACGACCTCCCTTCATTTTGAAGAATTGAGAACATACACTGGGATTTTAGCATTTCTGTGTCTCCAACTCAAAATTTATTGGCATCTTCATTTGTCTTTTATTGTTTTGTTCCTATTTCTGAGGAGAGCATGGTGTTTTTCCTAAATTCATAACTTCTACTTTATCTCATATACTGCTTCTCACTCCACGATACTACACTATTCATGAACTACTTATTGCATTTTTTTTCCTTCCTTCCCACCACTTTACTTTTTGGCCATAAGTATACTCATATGTGTCCTATCATTGAAAACAATAACTCTTCCAGTCCAAATACCTCCTGATGACACACTTCTTTGTCTACTCTATTTTAAACCAAGTGATCTGTTCTCACTTCCTTTCAGTTTCTTATAGACTATTCATCCCTCTCAATTTATCATCTTTCTCTTTCTATTCTGATGAAACTATTCTCTTGAAGGCCACGTATAATTACTAATTAAAATTTCAGGAGACCCTTTTATTTTTTTTCTACACACATATTCATACATTTTTTTAATTTTATAAAATGAAGATATCTTTCTAAAGTCTACATTTTAACTTAGAAATTTTCAGTGAGTCTCATTAACTATTGAATTAAGCCCAAATTCAGATGCCTAGTAGGACTTCTACCTAACCACAACTTACTTTTCATGGACTGCCCTTCATGTTCCAAATAAATTGGTCTTTATTGTTTCTTGAACCATCCATTTTTTCCTACCTTAGTATCTCTTAAGCATCCGGCTGATAGTTTTATTTAGAACTAGAGGCTTAATGCACAAAATTTGTGCAAGAAGCTCAGCCCCCCGCCCGCTGTGGCAGCCACCTGCCTTGGCCTCTGCCACTGTGGCTTCGCCTGGAAGGTCGTCCGGTCTAATTAGCATATTATGCTTTTATTATTATAGATGACCCAAACCCACTAATTATTGTTTTATATGATCTCTATGGAATGACACTTTCATGCAATTTTTTAATTTTAATTTTTATTTTGAGAGTTTTAAAAATATAAAAATCTTAGTTAAGAAGAACAACTGCAAGTATCCAACACTGAGAATTAACCTATTTATTGGTTATTTTTAATTCAAATTTTAAGCTAAAACATTAAATCTTTACAATAGAATTAAAGTCTTTGTTCTCTTACCAAACTTTTCCCTTTCATGGACAATCAAATCTCAAATCTGGTAAATGCTCTTCCAGTTCTTGCATTTAAACTCTTAAGCACACTTACACATCAAGAAAACTAGACTGTATCATGTCCCCAATCACAATGTTTGGTCAATGATGAACTACAAATATGTACAACAGTGGCCTCATCCTATATACTAAAGAGGTAATATGCAAATTGACCCTCACATCCTCATAAGATGGTTGCCTACAACCAGACTGGGAGGGAGGTTAGTGAGGGACGACCAAAGGACTGAACAAAAAGGCTGCAAGAGGTGACTTGGCTGGCAAGGCGGGGGT